GGTTCCCGGCCGTCTGCAGCTGAACTGCTCAAGACCACAAATCCACTGGCTCGGAGGGTCATGATGGAGTTTGCCCCCGAGCTAGATGGTGCAAACAGCCAGCCCTAAACCTGCACAGAGCCTTCTGGCCACAAAGGGCTCGGGTTGGTGCAGATGGAGCCGTGCTGCGGGCAGTAGCTTTAGGCACTCAGGTCACTGCAGAAGGGATGTCCTGGCTGCCCCACTGGGGCTTCTTTCGAGCTTTCATTTCTTCCTTGGCGAATCCTCTTTGGTTCCTCTCCAGTGGGAGAGCTGCTGGCAGAGAAGCAGTGTTGGGACCTGAGGCCCCCATGTCCCTGCTGCGCTGCTGGCAAGAGGGGAGAGGCAGACATGCAGCACTCTAGTGGGGACTGGGACCTGGCACCTCCTGTGCCGCTGGGACAGCAGCTCCTGCTGCTCAGGAACACAGCAGGACTGCAGCTCCAGGCACCTCCCAGCACCCACCAACAAAGCTAGCTTGAAACTGTTTGGTCACTCGGCATGTGGTACTTTAAACGGCTTTTTCTAATGCACAATGGTGATGATGTTTTATTCTCTTTCCTTTGACGTTGTGCCATCAGTTTCCCAGGCAAAAGTCCCAGGTTTTGAGTTCAGCTGGAAATGTGGAGATTTACTTTGGAGGTCGGTTGGACAGGAGGCTGCTTTGGAAGAGCCACAGACCATTCCTGCTCATCATCCAAAGCTTCCTCCCTGCTGCACGGGGAGCAGGCGCCTGCTGTCTGCAGCCTGTGCGATGACCTCAGGCCCCTCGAAAGCCCCTGACAATGCTGCATTCCAGAGAGTTCTTCAGCCCTCAGTGCAAACACAGACTTTCCCTCCCCACCTTTGCCATCAGACTGAAGCACCCTGCAGAAGCCGGGTAGTCTTGTGCCTCCTGCAGACATCTACAGCTCCCAGTGCTGGAGTTCCTCCAGCCAAACCCAGCCAGCTGTTGGGATGCAGGGCTGTGCTTTGACCCTCACCCACAGGACTCCTGCAGTTTCCCAGTTTCTGTGCCTGGGGCTGCACCCCACTGCTGTCCCCGTACTGCTGGCACTGCCACCATCCCCCTGACACAAACAGGACCCCACACACCACGTGCTGGGACTGCAGCAGAAGCCACAGTGAGGAGCAGTGGGGCAAGGCCAGCCGGGGGGTGGGGGCTGAGCAGAAACACCATCTCTCTTCTTCCTCAGGGCAAGAAAAGGCCAGACAGCAACTAGCAGAGAAACACAGAATTAAGAAAGTTTGTGCTTCATTACTTCCCCTATCTGCAAGCTCCCAAGTACCCCAGCCTCCCTGAATTGGGGCAGAGCAATGGGGCCAGGGCTGAGCAGCAGTGGGGGCACAGCCCTGGGGGCCAGGGTTGGTTTGGAGACCCTGTGCCCTCCCTTGGATCACCACCTCTGTGGATGTGCCCTGCGCTGAGCTCAGAGAGGCTCTGCTGTCCTCAGCTGTTTGTTTTGAACCCCTCCT